TAAAAGATTTTTGATAAATAAATATATTTTGTCTTTCAAATGCACAACACATTCCACCATGCTACAAAGATTTTTGCTGAGGCTCAAAAATGCACAGGCTGCTTACTTTGTGCCTTTAAAACACATTTTACTTAAAAAATAATTAACTGAGAAAAGTCAACTGCATGTCTATAAATTGACAGTAAAAATAAGACAATGAAATTAGAAGTCCCAAGGACAGTACTGATAAACCTGTACTGCTGGAGAGCGGCACACACAGAAGCAAAGTAATTCTCTTCAAATTCATCAGCGGACTTGACTTAGCTCCTGAGATTTCTGACACCTAGTAACTGACCTTACCACGCAAAAGCCAAGGTCAGAATAGTCAAGAAACAGATAGGCGCAAGCGGCGGATCTGTGCCTCCCACCAGGATCACAGCCGCCGCGTTCACTGATCACCACGAGGTGAGGCTGGGTCAGAAAAGGAGAGCGAGAGACCCGGGGAACAGCAGAGTGTGCCCAAGAGGAGCCTGCACCTCGAACCCAGGAGCCAGGGGCAGCGGCAGCCACGCGAGAGTCCGTCTCAGAAGTGGACTCCAGCCGTAGACACTACATGGCCAGCTCTGCGGAGACCACATCCCACATGCAAAAAAGACAGAATAACCTGAGCGACAGCGAGGTAGGAAAGGAGGCCTTCAACCGAGGGCCGCGGCTCCTCAGCCCACCCGTGAGGGAGAGGAACCCAGGCGCGCCCTGCAGAAGACCTGCGCATGCAGCCACTAGAGACCCATGCGTGCAGGAGCGTATGTGTGAAATGGGGACTACGTGTATCTCAAGTATCTGAGGGACGAAAAGGGATGTCGGAGACCCCAGCACTGTTCTATTGCTTAAGCTTGACACTGGAGAGCTGAAGTTCAATTTTTAACTGTTCTTGAGACTAGATATAAATGATGAACACACCTTCTGTTCTATTTTTTCACCATAAAAATAAGAAGAGAAGAAAGATCTACAGACAGAGTCCCCAGTACATGTACCAGAAGAGTCTGACAAGCGGATTACGATGCGGCATATGTTATTTCCCGGGCTCCAACAAAGACATCCTCACCTCTGAAGAAAAAAAGCAATCGCAACACCAAATAAAGAGAGGAGTCATGCAGCACAGACATGACAGGACATTTGGTCCCAAAATCCCCAGGCAAAGGCTCTGGCATCACCTGGCACCTGCATGTGCCAACAAGAATGCCCATGCTGGGAAAAGAAGGACTGGCACTCCAGTGGGTGCCAGAAGACACTGGTGGGGAAAACGCCGGTGCCCGGTCCAAGAATTTGTGGGCTCCAGAGAGAGACCTCAGTCCTGGGCGCTGGCCACAGTGCCAGCCAGGCAATTTATTCACGCTGGTTGGATTTGCAGTGCTGGGACCAAAAACACCGAAGCAAGGCTTGGCAGGCAACTCCAGGCCAACCGAGGGGAGCCGGTGGGAGCGCACGGCTGCAGCCGGGCCCAGACAGCACCTTCAAAGTCCTAGTGCTCACAAAGTTAGGTCTGCAGGGACAGCACCACAGAGGCGAGCCACTACCAGGACGTGGCCCCTCGACCTCCATCCTCAGAATCAGGCCCCACCCCCACCAGGAGCCCCGGGGCAGTTCTGTGCAGCCCGCCTGCTCCATGGCTGGTACGAATGAACTTGCCTCCACCAGGGCCCACAGCCTAGAAAACGCCATTCCTTAGGTCAGGAAGGCTCCTCACATCGATTCTAAGCAATAGGAAAGAACACGGGTTAGCAGGCCTGCCGGGTTCCTGACTCACTCTGTTCAAATGGAATGAGATACCACTGCTCTATGGCTAACTGGAATTTGTGAGATGCTCTGAAAAGCAGATAACCATAGGCAGATAATCGGATAAGAAAGGAGGAAAAGTCTCCTGGCAGATGGTCAGTGTACCCTCCAGAAAGGCCCGAATGCCACGCTTGAACAGGGTTTGTTTTGTTTTGTTTTTTGGTGGAACCAGGGATTGAACTCAGACCCTTGCACTTATTCTACTGAGCCATCTCCTGGCCCTTGAACAGGGTTTTCCAATGAGCTCACTGTACCGAGGGAGCATTCCTATACATGGGCAGCACGACACATCTGAAATGAAGCGGACAAAGCTCACAGTCCACTCACTAGACTTCAGAAAAGCTGAAAGGAAGAAGCGAAGGACAGGGGGAGGGGAAATGAAGCAAAGACACACCAGGCCCAGAGACACATGCCTGTCAGCTCAGCACTCAGGAGGCGAGGCAGGAGGTTCCCCAACATCCAAGGCCAACCTGAACCACACAGTGAGACCCTGTCTCAAAGCTGTGAAACATAAAAAGAAGAAAACCAAAAAGAGAAAGAGGAAAAGGTGAAGGGAAGTGAGGAGGAAATGACCAGAGCAGAGCCGGCCTCACTGCAGAGCGTGTACACAGCACGGATGCACGGCATACAGAGAATACTGCAGCAGAAATCTCTCCTGAGCCAGGAGAAACTGGAACAGCGGCAAAGCGCATGACCAACAAAACTCACGGCCGTGTCCCTGGCTCCCACACTGCTGGGCACCACGGGTCATGAGGGCCAGCGGCGGGGTCCAGGCAGCATCCCCCTCCCAGCAGCTCCCTGTTACCCTGACTGGTGGAACACACACAAGGCAGGATGCAAAGCAGTCAAGCGGGCCTACGAGGTTAAAGCCGAGCACAGAGGATCAACTACGCACTGGCAGAGAACCCCTCCAGGAGCCCCCTGCCTTGTGATGGCACCACTGCTGTGGACCTGCTGTCACCCCAAGACGCACCCAAGCCACCCCCACCCAAGGCTGCCCCAGGACCCCAGGGGCCCACTCACCACCAAAGCGGCCAGAGTGAGACCCCTCCTCAGAGGCCCATCCACCCTGGGGGTGCACACAGTCGCCTCCAACCTTGGAGTTGCCACGCCTACAGGGGAGTTGCTGCCCACCCTCCAGACCCAGGCCCTACTGACACTGGCCGCCGCACTCTGCCGCCACACCCTGTGAGCAGGGCTCAGGTCAGTTCCCTGACATCGTGGCGAGCAGAAGGGCAGAAATGCGCAAGCATAAACCATTCACACACAAGGCGCAGAGGAGGCCATGCTGTGCAGGAATTATCTCTGGTTTGCAGGTGCAGCACGCACGGCGCCCGCAGAGAGGCCTCTCGGGGCCTGCTCCACTGAGCCCACCTGCCTCCCTTGTGTTCCACAACCCATCGGAGCCTCGGCTCTAACAATCTCAGAATGTTCTGAAACAGATTTACTGCACAGACAAGAGATGCCAACATTTAAAAGTGTATTTACCAAAGGAGTCAGGATGCAAAACAACAAAATAATTTAAACAGCAACAAAACTCCACTTTGAAGACATGCTACTGACTAGCAACAAAAGATATGAAATCAAGAAGAATTATAAGAAAGCATATACAAGTACCTTTATCCATGGCATTAAAAACTTCACTCCAAAGCATAAAAATGGCCTAAAAGAATGGGAAACCAGCATGTTCATAAAAATAAAAGCTAAATTTCATAAAGACGTCAATTCCCTCCAGCGGATGTAGAGCTAGGTGATTTTAAGTAGAAGTCAAACCGACCTTAAACAGCAGGCGTGTGCAGAGGAGCAGAGTAAGGCAAGCAGCACGGGGAAGGAAGGAAGGAAGGGCAAACGCGAGCTCCCCAAACGTGGCCCTGGACAAAGCTGTGCCACGTGGCACAACTGCACACTCAGACAAAACAGAGCCCAAAACAGACGTATAGGAGCGTGCAACAACCCGCACATAAGCGACGCTGGGAATGGGGGGTGAGCGCGAGTCTGCAGATGGCACGAGGCGCGCCTGGCCTCACCAGCGCAGCTACCGGCTACTGAGAGATTAAATGCAGAGGCACAAAGCAAAATGCTTACAGAAAATATAGAAGGCCACTTTCTAAGGTGTGTGGAGGAAAGTGCCGAAGGAAAGCACATTGGTGCTGCCAAGAGTCGGGCAAGTCCAAATACACTGAACTAAGAGCGTCTCTCATCAAAGCCCCCAAGCAGAAAGGGAGAGAGGAGTGGAAGGCGTTTGTAGCACTCGGCGACAACTACCATCCCAAACAGGAAGCTCGACAACCCCCACAGCAGGGTGGCACGGAAGGATGTGCATTTCCAGGCCAGGACACAGAAAAGCCCGTAACATACAGAGGTGCTCGCCTGTGCCAGTGGGTGCAACGCGACAGCTGTGCGCCTGTAAGAACGCCCACCAGAAAAGCGCAAACAGCGGGCCCAGTGCAGCAGCCAGCGGGCCCCGTGCAGTGAGCCTCCCCACTGGCGTCCTCGGGGCGCTGGACAGGCACCCAGGCTGGGGCCACAACCACGCGCCTCTGAAAGCTCTTGGAAAAGCCTGGCCAGGGCACCTGTGCCACTGGACACGACAGTGCCCATGACGCCCTTCCTAGCAACACGTGAGAAACGGCCCAAGCACCCATCAGCAGAGCAAAGGCTGGGGAAGCGTGGGGCTGCTGAGACGTGGACTACTATGCAACAGATCCAAAGGGCAGTAGAGAGAGGCGAAACCAGCTGTGGAGGCGGATCACAAGGAACAACACAGCTCTGAACAAGGACGCAGGCCGCGAGGCGTCGCTCTCCAGCAAGGCCTGTGTGCATGAGAACCAGGGAAGGGCTGGTCAAGCTCCTAGGCAGGGTCTGTCTAGACGCACTGCCACACAGGGCTCAGGTCAAGTTGGCGCAAGCCTGGTGGCCAGTGCTGGCGGAGAGGGCTTCAATTCCTAAAGCCGGGGTGATCAGGAGTTTACCTAGACACACGCATATACTGCATAGTCTTTAGTATGTTAACAATCACAAGAACATGTTAAGAACAATTAAGACAGACATCAATAATTATGTCCACTAGGGGAAACTGCCCAAAACCTGGCCACCCTGCACCAGACTCTGAGTTATACCCACTGTCTTGCTGGTACTATGAGAGAGGCAAGGCAGGTCCTTCCGGTCACGGCTTCTCCTCTTACCTCCGTCACCTCAGGCTGAAGAATTAACGCTTCGGGGCTCATCCGAGGGATGTCTATGTGGATCTGGAGATGCAGGAGAAAGAAACACTCAGTGGAAAGGATGTCAGATATCATCACAAGCATCATAATTCAAATAGCAGCACTCCGTGTGGAGCCTGCCCTGCCACTTCCTCTGCTCTCTGTGCAGACGCCGACCCATCACCAGTCCTGCTCCGGAGGAGTGTCCGGCAGCACATGCTATCTGACTGAGGTGCACTGGTCCAAGGCAGCAGGTCGGCCTGACACTTTCCCAACCAAGCGCAGGGTGCTGCATGATTAGGAGCAGAGCAGGCCCTCAGCTATTTAGAAACATAATCCATAGCAATTAGTAAGCATTGATTTTCAGCCTCTGACACAGAAAGCAATTCAAGTACATCAATAGCGTGCAGGGCTTTTGCCGTGACAGCGCCTTCTCGGAGCACAGGCCACATTTTCCCCTTTCCAAGGTCCTCAGGGAGCCTAGGAGACTCTGCAAAGGACGCATCTGAAAGCTTCTGCTGGGGTCCCCAGTTCCTGGCTGGCCACATCCGACAGGAGCTGCAGCAACGCTCCCAGCGCTGCAGAGGAGGGCACGACGGGTCCGCGAAAGCACCAGAATGGGACAGAACGCACAGCTGGCATCGCAGGCTGCCTCCCACGGCCTGTCCCATGAGAAGGTCCCACGCCCATTGTCCTGGATGAAATGACAGAGCAGGCTGAGAAAAGACAATCTGAAACCAAGAGGGCCTGCAGGTGCATTTTGTTCCGGGATCTCCTCGCCCTGCTCAGAGGGGAGCCTCCCACAGCAGAGCCTGGGTGGACCGCCTCACTCTGCATGCGCTGGCCTGTGCCTGCAGGTATAACCACTCCAGCGTGGGCGCAGCCTCTTCATCCCTAAGAAGCCACTCTGCAGCCTTCAAAGTGGTACTGCAGCAAGCTCAGGATGGCTGAGACACACATGTGCCGAAGACGTGCACCGGACTGCGAGGCAACAGTGTCCAGCAGCGTGCCACGGTCAGAAGATGCCAATGGCTGCAGATAGGAGCCCAAGCACAAGAATGGGACTACCAGGGGTCGTGGAAGGCTACCTGTAGCCCCCAGATCCCTGAGTGACAAGCCTGTGGGCACATACTGTCCCCGGACAAGCACCATGGTCTCCTGTAGGACAGGAACCGGGTGTCACCTGTCTCCATATGCCAGGGCCAACAGGGTCCACCTTATGCAGGACCACAGGCAGCATGCTCATGACCTGCCAGCACAGAGCCCCCGTCACACCCCACCCCTGCCACACAAGAAGCAGGGAACTGCACAGGACTGGGTGGACAGGACCGTGACCTCACCCTCCTCAGCCCGCCCCCATTGTGCACAGGCCTGGGTGAGCGAGACAGAGGCCACGATGGGCTTGGAACAGCCCCAGAGGGAAAAAGATTTCTCACTCTGAACAACCCTGCAGGGCCTTGACAGGACAGCATCAATGGCTAACGCACAGGGCACCTGGAGAACATGCTAAGGCCGCCACTGCTCTGTCGTCCCAGTGGGGCAGTACCTCACGGCTTGGGTGGAAGTGGCCACAGAGCAAGCACAGGGAGCCACTCTGAGCCCAGAGCAAAAGAATTAGGCAGACAGGAAAACCCAGTGTTCCTGACACCACATTCTCTCATTTATATTAATGTGGTAATATTTTGAGAATTCAAAATAATGTGGGATCTTTTTATTACCTATCGCAGTAACTAAGCCAAGATGTGTGCGACCTGTCTGTAATTAACTTTCCTTTCAGTGGTTCCTAACAGAACGCAGCTCGGCAAATCCTGCTGGCACCACCCTTTGTAAGTCTTTTCCTTGAATAAAAATACATCAAAAATAGGTTCAAAATAATACCAAATTTATCCATTTTAAAAAACTAGTCAAGTGCAAAAATAAAGCGGGTAAGCTAAAATTTCCTTGCCCAAGTCCAAACACAATCTGCATCCAATCAGTTCCCTGGGGTTCCTGAGTGACAGCCCAGTGTGGCCTGCGAGTGTCCAGTATGAGGCAGAAGGATCGGAAGGAGGGAAGAAGAGAGGGAGAGAAGGAGGGAGGGAGGGCGGGAGAGAGGGAGGGAGGGAAGGAGGGAGGGAGGGAGGGAAAGACAGATGGAAGGGCAGAAGGAAGGGCTAGGGAGTGGCAGAGACGAGGCCACCGCCTCCAAGAGTCATCACACCTCCAGGCCTTGGCAGCAGCCTACCAACAGGAAGATACTCTCCATAGGAGCCACTTACCTTAAAAACCTTCAATTACAAATCAGAGGTGAGGCCTGGCTTTGGACCTTTCACCAGATCTACACCCAAGCAACAAAGAGATGAGGCTGTCCCATGTAGGACTGAAAAACTTGGCGGAGCTCTCCGCCTAGAAGCAGAGCTTGCAAAGAAAAACACGTGGCACTGACAAGCCTGAAGAAAGCCAGAAGCTGACTGCAGACACAAGATGGTGAAACCAATTAAGACCTAAACCATTCTGAACTTTCACGTATTACTCAAAGAGTAAGAGTTATAAAGTCCTCAGAGAGCTATTCTACCAGCAAATTCTGGATGTGCTGTGAACTGGAAATCAATTTTAAATGTTTTTTCCCATTATGAATATGATCTGTTGACTGACTGCCCAAGAAACTACAATCATACCCATTTTTATCAAACTAGTAGCAAAAGATCAAACTGGCTGTGGACTGGATTCCATCACACCCACACTGAGGTGTGGTCCCCTCTCCCCATCTGCACTCGCCCCTAAAGCCCCTACCAGAACCATACCAGGGAGCACAAGGCCTGCCAGTCCCACGGGGCCTCCCTGTCAAGGCTCCGGGAACAGGGCAGGCAGGAGCAGCCCTGGACCCTCAGACCGCAGCTCCCAGAGACACAGGCGGTGCGCCGCCACCGTCACCCGGAGGTGGCTGCGCTGCTGAGCAGCCCTCGAGCACTATCCTGCACCTCCCATCTCCAGTACCTTTTTCTTTTCGTAGAAGGGATGCTGGGTATTATCGTAGCAGAAATTTACTGTTACTGGTTTTCAGGTGTATGCCTTTATTTATTAGAAAATAAAAATCTGTACACCGATTACAGCTGCGCTAGATGAAACACTTCTTCCTGCACCATCACCAATCAAACTACTTCAAGAGAGACACGGCAAAGATAAGGGGCTCCCACCTGTCGGTATGTGTCGTGATGAGCTTCATCATTCCTGGAATCATAATAGTGTTCAATAAAAGCAAAATACTCTTTCTGCTTTCTCTGGAGGGTGGCTGGTCTCCGGTCGACATTGGCAGGAAGGTAACCCTGGGAGAGAGAAAAGCAAATAAATCCGTGTGTGTGATCACTGCTCCCCAGGGCCACGACAGGGAGTGAGCGACATGGGGCTCGCAGCCGTGGGAGGGACGTAAGGCGGACACGCGTGCCCAAGTACCGCACGGCTTCTCTCACACGAGAAACCCAAGGACAAACAAGAGCAAAACAGAAGACAACAGGAAGCAGGCAGGCAGACTTGTGCTAAGGACAGGGAACCAAGAGATGGGAGTGCGCGTGGGGAAAGTGAAGGGTGTGATCGTTATGTATGGCAAACAGGCACTAAAAATAAAAATCAAGAATACCATGGGCAAAAAGCTTCCATCTGAAATGGGCTCGGAGCCCTGCAATCCTGCCCCAGGGAGTAGGAAAGTCGGGTGGGTCTGGACCTGGAGTCTGCAGCCCCCGGCCAGCTGCTCTGGCTCTGTGTTTAAGCCAGCGAGGGCTGGCTGGGACCTCACAGCGCGGCTCGAGGGTGCAGTAATGCCTTCTCCCAGTGCCTCCCAGACCGGAAAGAACGGAAGTCTGGACGTTTGCACACCTGCACCCACACGCATGCGTTCTCACACGTGTGTGCACAAAGCTGCCACTTGGTGAATCCTGCCCTACTTCACAAACCCCCTGGGCTTTTGGCAGCTGCAGATGCAATTTACATGGCGGACTGGGATCCAGAAAAGGACAGCAGCCCCAGAAGCCAGGAGGAACCCAGGTTGCCTGGTGTTGCATGTGGTACTTTGGTTTCCTTGTTTCTTCTTTTTAAATTAAAACTACTGGGACCAGAGAGATAGCTCAGTAGAATAAGCTCTTGCCTGGCAAGCACAAGGTCCTGAGTTAAAAAAAATTAAAACTACTGATGTAGGATTTATAAAACAAGATGGTTAAGTTACATGTTAAGTACATTTCCATGACCTCTGATGAGGGCATCAGTTGTGTGGCCACTGCTCCAGGAAGAGCAGGGTGGCACGCACACACGCACACACGCACACACACACGCACGCACACACGCACGTACACCCTGGGCCCAGCATGCTTGCCAGTGCCCTCCTGCCCTGGTGTAGGGTAGTGCCACCTCCTCCCCGGGGATGGCAGGTGTGTTTGGGACTCCCTCAGGACCCAGATTTGGGCATGCCGCCTTCTGAGATTCAGCCACATGGCTGTATGGCCCAGGCAGCTACTTCCTTTCACCTTTCAAGCGGTATTCGGCTGCAAAGGTACAGTACACCAGCAAAGTCCCTCGCCCGCTCACTGGTCAACACACAGGCTGCTTCCAGCTGGAGCTATTAGGAATAAGGCTTATTACTGACAGCATTATACAAAACTTTTTGAAACATTTATTTTGACTTCTCATGATCAACTACAATGATATGTCAGTTTACAAATACTTTTGTTTGTATGTAATTTGGTTCACAAGTAGACCACCTGGCAGAATTTTGTTGCTGTTCAGCATCAGGTTATGAAATGACCACTGTCAGTGGTGGCGAATCTACCACTTGCGCCGGAAAGCACCATTTGTTATCACTGAAAGCCCTAAAAGGTTTGCCATCACTGACCTCAGCCATCTTTCCCACAGGAACATGAACGTGGCCATCCTTTCCAGAATCGTGAATGAAAGTATCACTGAACCTAGGAGTGCAGTCACTGGTGGTAATGTAGATTGATGTGCTGTTTTCTAAGAAACTACCAGACCTTCTTCCAAAGAGGTCATCCCATGTTCCATTTCAACCAGCCGCACTGTGAGAATTTCTAATTCCCCGCCAATGCTTAGTAATGTGACTCTTTTAAATGCTGGGCACAAAAAAATAAATGAAGGAAGGAACGAACGAATGAATGCTGGGCACGAGTGTGATGCATTTGGCTAATGACCGGCAACATACCTCTCCAGGCAGCCTCTCTTCTGAGGACAAGTATCTGTCCCAGCCTTTCACCCACCTCTGACCTCAGCAGGAGGGGCTTCTTGCTGAGTTGATGGGCTCAGCACACATTCTAAATACAAGGCTCACTTTAGAATACACATACTACAATGCTATCACCTGAGTCTATCACTTTTTCACAGCTCAAACACTCAAATTTTAAGTTTTCCTGAAGTCCAATTCATGCTTTTCTTGTACAACTAAGTATTTCCTGTGTGCTCCATCAGAAGGATTGTCTCCCTATTTCTTTCAGCAAGTTTCCTTCAGGGCTGGTCTAGTTTGCTGGCCACAGTGACGCAGAGACTCCAGGGCCTCTCGATGGCTAGAGGCAGGCCAAGCTGGAACCTCTCTACGCTGCTGTGAACTGAAGCGAATGTGGAGTTTGCAGCTGAGGCCGTCATAATCCCTCTGCAGGGAGAACATTGAACAGCAGGTATACTCAGAAAGGCTGGGTCCAGCCGGGCCTTTAGCTAGGTGAGCACACACCTTCCAGCTAGTTTCCTCAGGGCTCTTCTGCCAGCAGCCCCTGTGCAGGACAACTTGTACCAGGGCGCGCCTTAAGGTGAGTCTCCTCCTGTGCAAGCCTCGCAGCATGAGGCGGCACAACCCCATGCAACCACTGTCCTGCCTGCAGGCAACACAGCAGACTCACAACATGTGCAAGCTCACCAGCTGACCACGCCTGCGCAGACAGGGGCTGTGTAAGCTGCCCTCAGGAGCCGCTGCCGACCTCTTCCTCACAGAAGTGGACCCGCCGCTCTGCACGCAACATTATGCATGGAAAACGGCTTCTGCTGCAACAGGAAATGGCATCTACCTTCACCTTCCCCTAACACCTCCACATACAAACCCGTCCTGGTTTCCAGTTTTTACATGAAACGTCTTTGAGTCTACACTTTACAAAACAAGTCACGGACCTCTGTGAAGCGCACACCAGGGCGTGGAACGGCCAGACACACACAACTTTAGAAGAGTTTGCTAAGCAACTGTCCAAGTGATCACACTCCCATCCAAAGCGTGTAAGAACTTGCACCATTCCGCATCCCTGCCCGCGTTGGCTGTCGCCGAGCTTTCCCACGGTAGCTGCTGGCCGGGTCTGTGCAGTCTCTGGCAGCATGCAGTCAGCACCGCGTTTCCCCAGGAGCAGTGCATGCCACGGTGTGGCTGCTGTGTGGGGCGCGTGCAGGAGCGGCCCCTTCCTCCGATGTTGTCTGCCTCCTTCTTCTGCGCCCTGGCTGCAGTCTGACAACTGGCTGGCGGGCCCTGTGGGAAGTGTCCATGTTCCTCCCAGGGCATCAGCAATGTCTTCTGCTGGACACAAGTTCTGGTCTGACACAGCCTATCTGTTCATCTTTACAGTTAATCGTTTTCATGTCCGTCTCAGGGAACTTTCCCCCATTCCCCATTCATATTTCATGTAAAATCACAAACACGTCCCCAGCCCCACAACAGGGGTCAGCAACTACAGCCCAGTACCTACCGTGCAGGTACGACTGTGCTGGAACACACCAAGCCTAGGTCCCACACGCTTCGTGCCTGCTCTCCACCACAGCCACGCCTTGTCACAGCTGCAGAGACTGAGTGTGCGCTGGCTGAGTGCTTCCTACAACGACCTCACAGAGGCAGCGGCCCCAGCCCTGGTCACCTGTGAGCCCCGCGGGCTGCAGGCTCCCATCACAGGCCCTTATGCATAAGTGTGTGAAACCCACCCCCATTTCAAGAAATGTTCACGCTTTGCAGAGATCCATACTCTAAGAACATGCAAGCTAGCACTGTTTTACTTCCTGAGGTCAGATTCCTGCAGGTGAATGGTTAGCTCAAAGGGCTATCTAGCAGGCATGACTGAAAAACAAGGTGAATATTTATCTTAAATTAAACAGGAAAAGACACATTGCCATGAATGCCCCTCCGGATGCCTCCCGCCCCACTTCAAACACGCTCACTCATCCTTCTTGCCTCTTTCTGCAGCCGCTCTCAAGTCCTTGTCCACAAGGAGGCCCTACCCTGGCTGCCTTAATGTCCTGAATCAGTTCACAACCTTTCCCTTTCGTGGTCACTTTGGCTTTGGGGAAGAGCCGGAAGCCACACCCTACCAGATCCCGTGAACGTGCCACTTTCAGCAGCCTGCTTCCCACCGGCCCGCGCTCGGCCGCAGAGCTCACCATACATCTTACCGCACCTGGCAAAGACACTCATGAGAGAGGATGCCCGGAGCTGCTCAGGAAGTGCTAGAATGGCAGGATGAGTGCCTTCAAGGGGGGCTGGGATGTTGAGAAGGACCCAGCGCAATGTGGCTTTCATTACAGTAAGAAATGTTTATGCATTTGGCACAGGGTCTCACTATGCAGCTCAAGCTCGTAATGACCTTCCTGTTTTCAGCCTCCCAGCACTGGGATCACAGGCATGCACCACCCCACCCAGACTCAGTCACCGGCACAGCATGCCCTGAGGCTGGGGCTGGCAGGGCACGTGGGACCGGGGATGAAACCGTGCTCCCTGCGCTTGCTAAAGCAGGCCCTTAGTCCACTGAGCTATCTCGCCAGCCCGAATAAATTTTAAAATTTAAAACATTAATCTTACTTTGTGATCACACCAGAAGACTTCAAGGCTCCTGGCACATAATTCCCAAGAAGCCCTGAGGCACGAGGTGGCAAATGACATCCAGCAACCTCATCATACACTGCTGCCCACTACTTTCACCATGGTGACATCCACGAATTCCACTACCTTGGAGGGCAGTGCCCACCACACAGCAAGCTAACTGACAGCAAGGGGGAATCCTCAAATAGAGTTGTGCCGAACAAGGGCAACGGAAACAGCCCGATCTATAGCACCAGGTACATCCCAGCTACCAACATACGTGCTGTTGTGCACTGCCCAGCTGAGCGGCCACAGTTCCCAGTGACCAGAGCCTCCTGCAGCACAGCCAAGGACAGTCACACTGAGCAGGCACCACAAACACAGGCAGCAGTGCGCATTCTGAGCTCTCCACTTGGCACCAGGCATGGGGGTCTCTCAGAGACCATAACACATGGGCAGGGACGAGGCTACCGCCACTACTCTGGGCCCCAGCAGGGCCTGCAAAAACGAGGCTACCACCACTACTCTGGGCCCCAGCAGGGCCTGCAGGGACGAGGCTACCGTCACTACTCTGGGCCTCAGCAGGGCCTGCAGGGACGAGCTACCACCACTACTCTGGGCCTCAGCAGGGCCTGCAGGGACGAGCTACCACCACTACTCTGGGCCTCAGCAGGGCCTGCCACCATCACACTTTGCTGGGTTTTTTTTTTTTTT